GGCCATGCTAAAAAAAATAATAATCCATGAAAATGGGGGCTAGGAGTTAATTAAAAACCAAGAGAGGAACTGAAGATGCTACTCGGGTGAGAAGCGAGGTGTTTTCAAAGAAAAAAGAAAGTGCCTTTTGAAAATAAACTTTGGGAAAGGATCTGGTCAGTTTTTCCGGCGTGCAAAGGGAGTTCACTTACCCTCGTTCTTCGTATACACCCATCCTGTCGTCTTAAGGATGCTCCAGAGAGGCTGTCCTTGAATCAGGATGCAAAATCTCGGGCTTATATGCGAACTCCGAAGCCAAAAATAGAAACAGCAAGCATCTCTTTAGTGAGTCACACGCCGGAGGGGGGGGGGAATTCTCTTAAACCCATTGTTCTTCTCCAAAGAGGAGTAACCATACACCAATATATCCTTCACCCACAGCCAACATTCAAGCTAGAAGCCATCATCTGTGTCACCAGCATGTATATGGCCCACGAGGCTTATAAAACTCAGTTTGCAAACGTTCATAGGACAGGATAACCCCCCCCAAAAAAATGGTTTACTGAATTGAGCCACTTAAGTTACACTTTTTAGAAGTTTGCTTCTAGAAAAACCACACTGCAATCGTTTCAGAAATGTATCTTCCGACATTGAAAATCTTTGTCTGTTCTAGCTGTGTTTATGTCAATCTTTGATATAGCAATTCAGTCTTGATAGAGAGTATCAAGCTCAGGTTTGTTTTCTCCATTCTTCCTTCAAGGGCTTGCGAGGTGAACAAGGACGTTACGAGGTCCCTTCCAACCGTGTTATTCTGAATCTTAGGTGTATTCAAACACATTAAGATATTTGCATCCCATAATATCACCCGTTTTTTATTAAAATGAGATCGGACATCAGCAGTGGGCGAAAATTGTAAGGTGAAAGGTTGATTAGAGTTCACGAAAGAGATAAACCAGAACAAGTGGGTAAGATGCTGTGCTTGTCGATCAGAAAGGTCGGCGGTTCGAATCCCTAGCGCCGCATAACGGAGTGAGCTCCCGTGACTTGTCCCAGCTTCTGCCAACCTAGAAGTTCGAAAGCACGTAAAAAATGCAAGTAAAAAAATAGGAGCCACCTTTGGTGGGAAGGTAACAGCGTTCCGTGCGCCTTTGGCGTTGAATCATACTGGTCATATGACTACGGAGACGTCTTCGGACAGCACTGGCTCTTCGGCTTTGAAACGGAGATGAGCACCGCCCCCTAGAGTCGGGAACGAGGGGAACCTCAACCTTTACTAATTTGTACTAATGAACTTTTTCTTATCTGGTTGGTTGGTTGGTTGGTAGGTAGGTAGATAGATTGATCTAATAGAGAGATATAGATAGATAGATAGATAGATAGATNTCATTTTCCAGAGAAGAGGCAACAAAAATTACTTTTGAAACGTATCAAAGTCAAATTATCCTGTAGTCACTCTGTTTATAAAGTCATTTTCCAGACCTCTTTTTTTTAAATACCACCATTGATCCTTTAAGTATCACATTTATCTATCTTGACATTTGTTAACAGAAGAGTAGGCGTGTTTTTGTTAACTAATTGCCTGATCTAAGTTCTTTCATTAATTAATTTAATCTAATAATTACCCAGACATGCACGCTACGGCAAACCAATAACTTGGAAAGCTTTTTTCCATCCTTCAACACACCCGGCCCACAGGAACCCATCCGTCAAAAGCACGGATTTTAATTAACGTCACACATACATATAATCATTTTCTATTTTTAATGTTTGCGTGAGGGGAACGGAGAGAGAGAGAGATGCAAAGATGCAGGAGACAGTAGAAAACACTTCCAAAACTAGGTAGAAAAATTGGTTCCCAACCCACCAATTATTTTCACCATTCTCTTTCCTGCTACAAATGCCAAAATAATAATAATTTTTTTTTTAAAAAAAGCAGGGAAATTATTTCCTGTCATTTTTGAGGCAGAAAGTGCACTGTAGGACATCTTAGTCAACACTGCGTCAGCTTCAGCTCAGAGAGAGAAACTGGAAGTTTAGAAAGTTTGAAAGGGAATTCAAGTAACGAAGGAGAAATTTCCTGACAGCGAGAACAATTAATCATCAGCGGAACGGCTTGGCTCCAGAAGTTGTGGGTGCTTCAATACTGGAGGTTTTTAAGAAGAGACTGAACAGCTAATTGTCTGAAATGTTATAGGGTCCCTTCCAATTTTGTTAATTCTGCTTTAACATAGGGTAAGGACTAATTTAACCCACAGCCAGGATATACCTGAGCATAAGGGAGAATATCCATCGGCGCCCCCAACGGCATATAAATATCCATCCAGGACGGCCAAGCCCAGGCCTTTTCGACGACACTTCATAGGCGCCAACTTCTGCCATCTATCCAATACTGGGTCGTACCTGGAAGGAATCAGCAATGGTGAGAAAGTGATGATTCTACAAGATGTCTCCATATTTTCCTCCTCCTCCCTTCATCCTTTATCCTCCACCTCTTTCCCCGTATCTTCTTCCTCCTTCTCCACATCTTCCTTCTCCTTCTCTCCCTCCCTCTCCTTCTCTCCTATAAGCTTCCCAAGGTGATTGACACCAGGCCCATCTCCCTCGAGATGTTACATCAATCTATTTTTGATTTGAATTGGGGAGAGATCTTTGCGGTAAGTAAAAAGGCTGCCAAGTATAAATATTAGCTACTGTAGCACACCAGCATGGCCTCGAATCAGCATCCCAACTGGGCCTTACCTTTCCAGCGTGTTGAGGCAAACCAGCCCATCAAAACCACCAGCGCAATATAAGTAACCGCCGAGTTCAGCCATAGCTACATCTTGCTTGGGTTCACTCAGAGGTGCGACGTTTCTCTTCCACTCATTGATTTCGGGGAGATACCTACCAGGGAAGAAATAAGATGGAGGAGAGATTCTGGGCATGGGAGGGAGGCAAGTGCCCCCCCCCCTTATAGAAGGGGAAGAATGGTGCGGTGGCCTAGAGGTGGAACTCTCGCCTTAAACTCAGGAGGCTGTGAGTTCGATCCTAGGTAGAGGCAGACATTTCTCTCTCTGGGCACAGTGAGAATATATCTGCTGAACAAAACTCTGCATTGGCAACAGGAAGGCATCCGGCCAGTAAAAATTCTGCTACCTCCGTTCAGTTTCCCAGAGTCCACCCCGCAAGGGATTATGGGGGTCATTAAAAGAAGATGATAGGAAGAGGAGGGGAAGCTGACTCAATGCCAGGACTTGTACAACACGATTGCAGAGTAAACATAAACTACCGGTAGTCCTTGACTTACAACAGTTCATTGAGTGACCGTTCAAAGTTACAACGGCACTGAGAAAAGGGGCTTATGACCATTTTTCACACTTATGACCTTTTTAGCATGCCCTTGATCATGTGATCGAAATTCAGATGCTTGGCAACTGGTTCATACTTATGAACATTGCTGGGTCTCAAGGACATGAGAACCCCTTTTGACAAGCAATCCCATTCTATATTCCTATTCCTATTTTATATTCCTATTCCTATTCTATATTCCTATTCCTATTCCATTCCATTCTCTATATTAAATAATAGGTGCATATATATATATTTGTGTGTGTGTGTGTGTGTGTGTGTGTGTGTGTGTGTGTGTATAGTAACAAAGGCAACAGTAAAAATAATGGCTTTCTGTCTGGATGGTCTCCTGGGGTGAGCCGATAGACAGAGAAAGGAAGCAGTATGCTTCCTCCCATATTTGGGCATACCAGGGGTTGTGACACGAAATACATACTTATTTCCCTGGCTTGTCTGATAAAGGAGGAGAGCCTGTGGCTTAGTGGCTAACACAACTGCCTAATATGTAATACAGCACAGGTTCAAATCCCAGTANCTTCTGCTGTTCTGCAGCCTCTGTTGTGGTCCACTCAGAAATTAAGGATCCTGTGCCAACATGTAACATGATCACCGTCCTCTGGTATTACACTGCCTTTGCTCGGATTCAAAAGAGGATGGAAAAAAAAGAACAATTTAAAAAGAATGCTGTACTTGGTGCCTGACACAAGAGAAATTCTATCTGGGTGTGCTTTCCTACATGACATGCTACTCCAATTGCAAAAACATTCCCCGTGCATCTAAAGCTGTACACACACCACCTCCCGACTCGAAAAATTCCAGCGTCGTCTCCATAAAGACCATGCAGGTAAGTCCTGAGCATCTTTAACGCTATTGTGACGATATTGAAACAAGGAGATAAACCCTACTTAGTTATCAAATGCCTTTTTACCCATGCCGTTCATTTTGCTAATATTCAGGAAGCAATATGACATTTGTGCTTTTTATGTGGCTGGTGTGACTCAACGCCGAAGGCGCACAAAATGCTGTTCCCTTTCCGCCAAAGGTGGTTCCTATTTTTCTACTCACATTTTTTTTAACGTGCTTTCAAACTGCTAGGTTGGCAGAAGCTGGGACAAGTCACAGGAGCTCACTCCGTGACGCGGCGCTAGGGATTCGAACCGCCAGACTGCTGACCTTTCTGATCGACAAGCTCATCTTAGCCACTGAGCCACCACGTCCATGATATAGGAAATAAAAACTTCCTAATTCAGATTTTCTCTAGCTAGTCTTTATTTCAGCCTGATCTACCGCAGCCAGGGTTAAATTTGAGACCTTAAATACCACCCCCCCATTACAAAAAAGCACTTGATTCAATAACAGGGAAGAATCCAAGGATGGTTTTAAATATGCACTTTAAAAAACAACAACACTCCAATTAAATGGTTTTAATTCATGATAGCCTACATTAACAGAATCAAAAGAGCTAGGATGAGTGCATGAATGTATTCCAGTGCTTTTATGAACTCTGGTTTCTGTGTGATTCCTCTTTTCTCTCTTCTCTAAATGCATTACGCAAGTACTGCGCACAGCCAAATAAATCTACATTTAATCTAAGCACATGATCACGAATATTTCTGATTGTGGGCTCCTTGGTGCTCTCTGAGCTTGGTGGTTTTCTTGCAGACGTTTCGTGACCCAGCTAAGGAACATCATCAGTGCTAGAATGGAGTGGGGCTTGCAGAGTGCAGGAGGAGGAGGAGGATGGAAGGGTCCTTGGTGCCCTCTGAGTTGGTTGGTTTTCTGGAAGACGTTTCACTACCCAACTAGGTAACATCATCAGTGCTAATGCAGAGGTGGTATTCTGTAGTAGTGGAAATCGCAGGTCCACCCCCGCCCCGGTCTATGACATCCAATTTAGGCCCTTTTTTAGCCAAAAGCAAACCAGTAGGAAGGTTAAGTGAATACCACCTCCGGTGCTAAGTAACTGATGATGACACCTACTTTGGTAATGAAATGTCTACAATGAAAGCACCAAGTTTAGAGAGCACCATGGAACTACAAATATTTTCTCTTCTCCTCTTCTCCTTTCCTCTCCTCCCCTCCTTTCACTTATCTCCTCTACTCATCAATAGTTCTGACTCCACAGCAAGAACTGAACAGCACAGATGTTGAAGGAAACAAGCACTAATTTTTGTTCCTCTCCATTTCAACAGCTGATCTTCTGTAGGCTCCGAACTCACCAGTGGTGCTTTATGCTCTTCAACGTGGCTCTTTTCCACATTTTGCTCTTCGGAGCTGATCTTGCGGAGGAATATTTCTTACAAGCCATCCCCACCACTTACATGGACGCGAAAGTCCTCAGAGCTCGAGAAAAAGCCCGGATACTTGACATGTCCTCCATGAAAACCAACATCTCCCAGGCTTATGTCCTTAGTAACCCAGAAGCCTGCTCCAACCGAGAGGTCTTCCTGTTGGTTCTCATCTTCAGTAGCCCCCAAAACCTGGACAGGCGCAGCGCAATCCGGAAAACGTGGGCCAACGTGACCCACGTCCAAGGTTACACCACTCTGGTCTTGTTTGTGTTGGGAAAGCCATCTTCAGCTACCACCCAAGTGGAGGTCATCAAGGAATCAGACCAACAACAGGATCTGATCCAAGGAATCTTTCTTGATACCCCTGAGAATCAGACAATGAAGGTCAAGAGGGCCGTAGAGTGGACCGTAACTTTTTGTCCCAAGGCCAGGTTCGTTTTCAAAGTAGACGAGGAGATGTTTGCCAACCTCCAATCCTTGGTTGAATATCTGCTCAACTTAAGAGCTCATCCTGAAGACATCTATCTCGGAAGGGTGATTCATCCAAACGTCCCCAATAAAGAATTCCACAATGGCAGTTTTACCTCCGTTAGAAAACATCCCGGAGAGTATTATCCCGACTACTGCAGCGCCACAGCCTTGGTCATCTCACAAGACGTTGCTCGAAAGATCTATGTAACTTCTAGAGAAGTTCCTCCTTCCCTACCGCCTGGCCTTTTTATGAGCGTCTGTGCAAGGGCAGCCGGCGTGGTGCCTATCCACAGCTCCCGGTTTTCTGGGGGGAGACGTATCTGGTACAATCGTTGCTGCTATAAGTATATTTTCACTTCGACTGTGTCGGAGACACGCCAGCTTCTCCGAGAATGGAAGGAGATGAAAGGCAATGAAGATTGCACCTTACTGGAAACCTATTACGGGCTGGTGTCCTGCAAAATCATGACGTATCTGGACGGGTTGAAAGAGTCCAAAGTCAAAGCCGTTCAGAACGAGCATTTTTCCAATTAGAAGAATCAAAATAATAGCATCTCCGTTTGACTTTCTCAATGGGCTTACCCCCAATCTTACGTACTGGTATTATGACGATTTTGTTAGGAATATAATCTAATGGTTGGGTTGGCAATATATATATCATGTAACAATGTTGTACCTGTTTCTTTGGATTGTACTGTGAAATGTGATTGGTTGCTGTTTTCCTCGGTCAGCCATGGGAGGGAGCCAGAGTGACTGTTGGCTCTCTGTTTGTTAGAAGCTGGGCTGATCTGATCTGAGTGTTTTTGGAAGCTGGCTGTTAGAAAGTGCCGTGAGCTATTATAAGTTTTGCAACTACTAGCAAACTTTGAATTCTGAACTGATTGTATGATACTGGATTATGTTATTTGGATTATCCCTTAACTGAAAGATGTTGATGACTGACTGTCTTATCCTTGTATGACTTGGACTGTTTGATGGACTATGATACTTCTATTTCCACAAACGTAAAAGCCTATTTAAACTGCAGTGTCTCTGTATGCTGGTTTGTGTGTTCTCCAACACAACTCTCACAACGCTTCTCTGAACATATTCGCTCTCCCAACGGAGAGCTTACCTAACAGATTTATCATTTATTCTGTGGCCTTGCGTGTAGAGCTTGTCCTTGACTTACGACTGCAATTGAGCCCAACGTTGATGCTGCTAAGTGAGAAATTTGTCAAGTGAGTTTTGCCCCGTTTTACGTTTCTCGTCACCTCTGTTAAGCGAATCACGGCAGGTCTTCAGTGAGTGACGTGGTTAAGTGGATCTGATTCCCACGTCGAATTTGCTGGCCAGAAGGTCGCAAAATTGCGGTCGGCTGCCCAACATTCAGACAAGAAGTTGAAAACTTTTTTCAGGCATTTAATTTTTTTCTTCTTCTTTCAGAAAGCTAATTCTACATGTTTATAACCACAACAAAAGGAAGTCACAGTATTTGGGAGCCAACATATACATCAAAGTCAGTAGTTTTGAGCAAAACGGGGTCGAAAAATCGGATTGTAAAAAACCAACGTTTACACTTTCTTCAGTTCAAGACTGGATCTTACAATCGAATCCCAAGCAGAACACAGGAAAAACAAATCTTTGCAGGCAGGCAGAACTACTCAAAACATTACTACAACCACCGACTCATCTATGGTTGCTTCCTAAATTAGTCACGAATTAAAAGCCACCAATGCATTTAACACCCATGAAGCTGAGCTGGATTATGCATATTGGACCCTGATCTTTCATGTTGAATCGTTTTTCGATACGACCTTTTTCAAACTCTGCCCTGCTTAGAGACTGGCGTGTAGGAAAAGTGGCGGTGCTACGTCCGAACTGAATCAAGGAAGAAATATCTTGTGTAAAAAGATATGTATTAATTCTCAAAGGCACTAGAACAGAAGTGGGCAACCTGCTCTGGAGCCGCATGTGGGCTCTTTCATCCCTCTGCTGCGGCTCCCTGTTGCTGGTTGGCTCCACAATTGATAGGGCTGTTGGTTAGGACAGGTAGAGGAAAAAGGATGCCTGCAATAGGAGACTATGATGGGGGAACTGGAGTTCCGGTGGGCTCCAGAATTGAACTGGAGGCTTCCGTTTAGTACCGCTGTGGCTCTTTGAGTATTTTAGGTTGCCGAGCCTTGCACTAGAAGATGTGTTTTATTTTGGAGGAGGTTGTTGGGATTAGTCTCTGAGAAGTGAGGCACCATAAATTTATACTTTCCTGGGGTTGAGATTAAGAGCTGGAGGATGGACAGTTGAAGGGCGAGAGAAGGGGGGCGGAGGGAAATAAGCACTTTTTTTTTTAATGGTGATTTACTTAGCCTTTTATGTAAGATATATTCTTTACTCTTCTGCCTAACTTGCTTTTAAGAACCCGGATTAAATCCATGTATTTGTTTCCCTACGTAAAGTTGTGCGGACAAAGTTTTGGGTCGTGGCCAAAAATTGGAACGTCGGAAAAACAACACTGCAGGTGTGATTGGGGGAAAAAATCAGTCACTCTGTGCAGATGGTAAAACCTGTGTGATCCACAACAACAACAAAAAATGTTTTTCACAAATGAAGGCGAATATACGGGCCTCCCAGGATCCTGCAACGTTATCCCGGGGAAAATGTTTTTTTTTAAAAAAATATATATTTTAAGAGTTTCCTTTCCTGTGCTCTTGGATTTTTAGTGCGAAATGGTAGAGCCCGTGTTTTCCATTTGGAAAATACCTAGAAACATCTCTATATTTCAAACCAACTTCCTGCTGTTTCAATGTTGAAAAAAAAAACAAGAAACTCATACCAAGTTAAATGCTATCCACACTTTCTTTGCCCTTCCTACAAATCAACAGGCCAGCCCCATCTTCCAGAAATCCAGAACATTTGGTCAATCTTGGAATTCGCTTAAAATGATGTCGTCCAAGGTTACTCAGCTCCTTCCACAGCGATAGTTGAGACAGCCTTGATGTAATATGGCCCCTCGCGCATATAAGTCTTCAGTCTCAAGTAATGCTGGTTTCCAAAGATTTCTGCAGCTGTCTTTGAGCTCACCAAAGCCTTGACAAGTTCGTACTTGGCCTCCTTGGAAGCTTTGTCCGGTTCCACGGATCTGTCCACCATGTATTCCACAAAGCCAGGACTGGCCAACATTTCCTGCTGAGCCCAAGGTTGATTTGCAATGGCCTAGGGGAACAAGGAAGATTTTATTCAATGGTTTTGACCTTCAAATTCCTTCCATTTAAAAACCAATTGTTAGAGCATTCATGACTGGGAGAGACATGGTAACAAGGTCAGCCAATGAATAGGCATAGCAACTAAGTCAGCCAATGGGAGCTGAAACAGAACTGAGTCTGCTGCTCTGAGAAGTACCGTATTTTTCGGAGTACAAGACGCACCTTTTTCCCTCAAAAAAGAGGCTGAAAATCTGTGTGTGTCTTATATACTGAATATACAGCACTTTTGCCTCTCGAAACTCCTCCCCTTCACCAAAATGGCCATGCATAGCCTTTAGGAGGCTTTCAGAGAGCTCTTGGGGACTGGGGAGGGCAGAAATGAGAGAAAAAATGGGCTATTTTTTGCCCCCCCCCAGCCCTCAGCAGCATTTCATAAGCTTCCTAAAGTCTATGCATGCCCTTTTTAGACAAAAAACGGGCCGTTTTTTGCTTGTTTTTTGCCCCACTCCAACCCCCAGGAGCATTCTACAAGCCTCCTAAAGGATATTCATGCCCGTTTTTTGGGGGGGGGGGAAACAGGCCCAATTTCATGAAAAACGGGCCATTTTGGGGAGGGTTGCAGAGTGCAAAAATGTTTCTTTTTTTAGTTTTCCTCTTCAAAACCTTGCTGCGTCCTATATTCCAAAAAATACGGTAAACTAGTCTAAGCTTGTCTGTCTGCTCTGAAATGAAACTAACTGTTCTCGCTTGTGTTTGCCCTTAACTCTCTTGCCTTGTGTTTGCTTGGAAGAATCACCTGTTGGTATTGTACATTTATTCATCTGTTATTATGTATATAAAGAAGTTAATGAATCCAGCTGAATCAGTTACCTTTGTGTGCTTTCTGGACTTGTTTTTTCTGCAACAAACTCTGTTGTCAAGTTGAATATATTTAACCAGATGTAAAAACTGCAAAAAACTACATAGAGCCCTCACCTTAAGACTAGTCCCTTCTTAGCGACCATTCTAACTCACAACTGACCTATTGCTATGACCCAGATTTGAAGTTCTAACAGTTTGGGTCTTCCCAGCCTTCAGGTGCTTGGCAACACACCTGAAACTCCTATACACAATCATGTTGTAGTTTAGCCTCTCTTTAAGCCCCCTAAAAATATTTAATCAGGTGGTAAGGTTAAAACTCTTCCAAATTAAAAACAAAAACGGAATTCATCAGCAGAGGAAAGGTTGTCTTAAGAGCAGCTTTCTTCTTCTGTTCTGCTCATACCACCACTCATTTATTCAAGCTGGGGGGGGGGGGGGAAACAGCCCTAGAGAGAACTGACCGAGGCTTTCCAGGAGCATGAAGCAAACTCCTTGTCCCAACAAGCTCCTTTTTATTAAGTGACTGTGAATTCTTCTCATTTACATCCAGCAAAGTCTTTCAAAGATGAATTTACAGTCACAGACTTTATCTGGCTTGGAAAGCTGCCAGGCCTATATCTGCAAAACTTGGCAAGAGTCACAAACCAATTAAGCGAACTAATGGTCTCCTGCAAACTCCTCTCCCCTTTCCCTCTTTTATTTCCTCTGGGAGGGGCCATTCATTGTCCACCTGTGCCTTTACTCCTGAGTCGGTCCTTGTTCCTTAATTGTTCCCTTCTCCTGGCAGCTCTGTGCATGCGCACATCGGGAACAGGTTCCAGCTGTTCTTCTGCCTCACTGATCTCCAGCTCCGAAGGCAGCTGATAGCCCTGGCACAGAGCCCTCATCAGAGCCTTCCCCAGATTCCAGGACTGGCCCAGGTTCCTCCCCAACCTCCCCACTGTCTGAGTCTGCCACCAGCTCCGCTGGCGGGCCACAGCAAGAATGACGATGTATAGACAACTGCAAAGGCATTTTATGCAAAAAGAATCTTACAGTGAAAACCCTCAAGGCTGCGCAGTGGAGATCGGGGAAGGGCTGAGTGCTGATGCTTTTGAACAGCTCCAAGGGCTGGTTGGAGAGAGAGGAGAACCACAATTCAGTCATCCGAAGGAGGTCTTCCGTTTGCTGCTCAGGCTGTATGCAAGAGAGTAGCAGGTGAGTTTACTAAGTCCTTGGACTGATCCTTTTTTTCCCCCCCGCCCTAAAACTTTCAAACCATCCTGGGTTGTATAAACTGAGACATGGAATCAAAATCACATGAAGTGTTAGTACCTCTTTGTAAAGCCTTGGTAAAGCTACACCTGGAATACGGCATCCAATCACTGTTCTGACCTAGGATTCCCAAAAGCACGAAGCCGACTCCTTGTCGCAAATAAAACCCATTTTACTTAGGTTAAAGGGAATTCCTCTCCAGCAAAGTCCCGGCCAATAGTCTTTCATGAGCTTTCACAACTACAGACCTTTATCAGGCTTGGAGAGCTGCCAGGCCGATATCTTCCAAACACCACTCTGTAGCAGACAATACTTGGCAAGAAGTCAGGAACAGATCTTCGCTCTAATGAACTGAACTAATTGTCTCTTGCAAACTCCCCTCCCCTTTCGCTCCTCTTTATTCCCTATGGGAAGGGCCATTCACCATCCACCTGTGGCTTTACTCCCGAGTCGGCCCTTGCTCCTTAACATTTCCCTTCTCCTAGCAGCTCTGCATATGCACACATGGGGAACAGGCTCCAGCTGT